TAATACTATAATTTGCTATTGATTAATCTGCCTTCTATAAAAATATTACTCTGAGGAAAAAATTACCTACTATAATAGCATGCTTTCTATTATGCTAGCACAGCAGGTTTTTATAAAATAGTTGGTAGAAATATCTAAGTAGCAGGTAATAAGTGGATTGGGTTTTTTTTTAAAGAAAAGTAATAAAGCAGATGCAGTAAATAATTCCAGAACTATTGCTTCCTTCCAGTTCATTTAGGTCATTTAGGATAATTCTTTATGAAATGCATAATTCCAAACAGAGGCTTCCTGAAAACATTTGCTAGAGAAAATCTTCAACATTCTTCAACATTCACAGTTGGTAGCCTGACAAGCATTATCTATAGGTATAGACATTCTCTGTGATGGGCAGAACAAAACATTCTATTTGTGACATGATACTGCTGAGCCTGATGAGAAAAGTTGTCTAGTGTAAAACTGAACAATCTCCATATATGAAGCTACTTTTCAGCTTCTACTTTCTAATTATTGAGAAAAAAACTTAATCTATAAACCTATAGTTTAACACACCTTCATCAATTGACAGATTTAATTCAAGCTTATTTGAGTATCATGTTTCTCATATAATAAGGCCGGGTCTTTTTTTTTTTGAGCCCCGAAAAAATGGCTAGGCTGTCTTTTCGGGGGTGACTTAATTCCCCCCCCCCTTGCATCTTCAGGCGGGCAGGCGGCGATGGCTTGGATGTTGACCTCGGCGTTGGTGGGGCACTTCGTATCGGGGTCAACGCAGGCAGCACCATATCCAGGTGTGCAACAAAAGTACTTCCTAACAGCAAGCCCCCCCCCATCCCCCCCCCATTTCGCATGTTTTAATATAGGCCTTAATTTGGGGGGAGGGGCTTCATTTCATTTCATGCCTATAAAACATGCTGGGACTTCCTATTGGGGGAGGCCGTATTGTTGGAGAAACAGGGTACTAAAAAAAGAAGTATCAATGCTATAATAATGCATGTCAGGATCCATCTTGAATCTCCCTAGCTTCCTGAAGAAAATTAAACTATCATCAGTGGACACATAAAATTTGAGAAAATGCCATGTGATTCTAGTGCTAGTATACCTGATAGCCTCAATTTTGGTCTTTTTCTGAGTCAGTTTTACTGTTGAACATATTGTGGAAGATTATATCTGCTAGGAAGCGATATAGGACAGGGGACCTCAACCCCCTGTCCACAGCCTTGTATCAGTCCGCAGCCCATTGGGAACCAGGCCATGCAAGCGACGGATGAACGCAGCACGAAGCTCCATTTGCACAAGCAGCGGGCTTGTGTGTGAAACCATCCCCTCCCTCTACCATTGCCACTGGTTTCCAAACTGGAAGGGTTTGGGACTACTGATGTAAAATGTTTCAGACAAATGTAACATATTATACCACTTGTAAAGAACAATAAAACAATTTGGTGAATTCCAGATGCTTAATCAAGAATAACAGGTTATGAAAATTGTCATGTTCTCAAACAGCTACCACTCTATTGTCTTATTTAATTGCAATAGGTTCCCGAGCGATCTGTAGCTCCTTCTCAGGAATATGAAAAACTTTGACTGAAGAGTTTCCCAGAAGGTCTATTATGCACATATTTAGTGTATAGCTCATTAAATTCAAGATTCTGTGTTATGTTTTTCCTGTGGACTTGACATACGTCTATTATTTGGTTATTTTAGCTGCAATAAATATCCTGTGCTGTGGATTATATCAAAGACATAGTCATGTGATACATAGAGAGGCTCTTTTGTCTCAAGTTGTTTCTGTTAATCTTCTATTTGGAAATGTTATGACAAACCTCCTGGGATATTTTGGCATTTCATTTGAATAAATACATACTTCCCTGGATAACATTTTCCCCTTTCATGGGATACCAACATTCAAACTCCCAAAATTAAAAAAACAAAAAACCAGGTATTTCTTCTTAATAGTCAAATCACATCTTAGCCTTTAAAATCAAGATCCAGCCTTGCATATAGGAATAAATTAATACTTCCATAATAAAAGTATGAATCACCCAAGATATTTAGATTATTTTTATGCATGACAGTACTTCCACAAATAATGCTAAAATAGTAACAGAGTGTCTAAAAGGGTCATCTAGAAATTTGGAATTCAAAGTTATTAGCACACTGATGGACCTTAGTTCTTCTGTTCTCTTCTTTCCGCCTGTAGCTTCTTGACGGGTGCCTCGACTTGATTAGGGTCCATAAATTAAAACTGAATGCAGATAAGAAAGAGGTGGTGTAAGATGGGTGGTTGTCAGTCTAAGAAATTAAAAGGCGGCCTCTGTACCGCTGTATGTATAACAAGTGAGTAGAACAAGTGAGGGTTCTACCTGTTTCCAATGTATCATTAGAGGCATGGGTGTACTCCATGGCAAGGAAAGTCTTGAGTTGCTTCGCTGAAGTTGTGCAGTATTCAGATCTGGAGTAGTAAAGTCCTTCAGAATTGGGATGGACACTTTTTGAAAAAATATTTTATTGAACAAAAAAATTAAAAACATTGAACATAGTTAAGTTGGTTTGGCATAACTTTTGGTCAGTATCAGATAAATATATAATTTCCTATATACAGTTATTCAAATATATACATTTGTTCGCTCATAAATTATATTTCCAACATCATTGGTCCTCTTTTCGTCTCACACATTCATTTACTCTCTCAGCAATTCCTTTCCCAACTTAAGACCTTCCTTTCTGCTCCCACCAGTGATAGAATCTATCCCAAATTGTGTAATATGCCGACTCGTCTTTATGTTTCATTTCTAAAGTTAGCTTGTCCATTTCAGCGCATATCAAGATTTTGTTGATTACTTCATCTTCACTTGGTATGTATGTGATGGACACTTTCTTTGGACCTGCCAGCAGCTCCATAAAGAAGTCTTACTTTTTCTTAGATATTCACAGTATCCATACAAAACAGATTCAGGACAAGAATTATCTGAATTCAGAAAGCATTTATGGCTTCTCATATCAAGAGAATTTGTTAAAGGAATTCTTGGGGAATGTCTTCAGAATTGTACCTTAACCAGGTTCTCTTTAAGAATTAGTAGAAGAATACTCCTCTGCCTTCTTTACTGGCTTGGCAGAAGTTCTGATGGCCACCACCACCATGGTCAGATGACCACATGTTGGGGACTTAGCAATCAGCCTGCTTTTATAGTGTTTGGCAGCATCCTGCAGTCACATGACCACATTTTGCAATGTTTTTGCCCAAAACCAGCATTTATTTCCAGTTTTCAGGAAAAACACTCCCTAGCGAACCATTCACTTTATAATTAAGTACAGATAGCGTTTGAATTAAGACCACAATTGAGCCCAAAATTTATGTTGCTAAGTGAAACGTTTGTTAAGTGAGTTTGACCCATTTTACAATTTTTCTTGCCGCAGTTGTTAAGTGAATCATTGAATTTGTTAAGTTAGTAATACGGTTGTTAAGCGAATCTGGCTTTCCCATTGATTTGGCTTGTCGGAAGGTTTCAAAAGCTGATCACATGATCCCAGGACACTGAAACCATAATATATATGAAGCAGTTGCCAAGCATCTGAATTTTGATCATGAAGAACGGTCATAAGTCATTTTTTTTTCAGCGCCGTTGTAACTCTGAATGGTCATTAAATGAACTGTTGTAAGTTGAGGATTACCTGCATTTGCTTTACACCTGTTGAAAAAAAAATATTGTAAAATTGGGTCAGTTATGTGATGACCCAATTTTATGGCTGTCACGATCTATGAGTGTAATTGGCCAGCTTTGTTACTGTTGTAAGTTGAGGACTACCTAATTTTGGGGGGTTGGCCTGCTGAGCTCACAGACTTGTACTCTAAGCATGTTCTTGACTTCTCCTGATATTGAGATTCAAGATGCCTTTATCAATCCAGCAAGTCTCCCTCTTCAGAACCATTTTAAAAGCTCCAAAATATGCAGAATGCACATGTTCACTTGAGCTGTGCATAATGTGCCAGTGGAAGATCTGTTTTTTCTCCCTAGAGTTGGCAATGCAGAAATCTAAGCTGTGTGGCACTCTATTCATCCTCTTATTCTTTGCTGGTGTAGTGCATAGAAATTTTGCTGAAAAGCATGATTGGACTTACTGGTTTGATCTTTCTACTACAGTTCCATCCCTTTAGCATTTCAACTGTTAAAAAGTGTGAATAACTCATGATTGCTCTTTTGCTCTGCATGCTGCAGATGTAAATGTAATGAGCTTTTAGGGTGTAGGTAAAAATTCTGGTGTGGAAGGCAGATGATTTGAAAGGGAATATGGAACGTGGCTTTCTTTTTCATATGTAGCATTGAAATGTTTGTCCATTTATTTAGCTTGTGGCCAGGGGCATCCTGAGCAGAGATGAAAAATGTCAGTATTATGCAACATTCATAAAAAAAAAGGAATGGGACTTCAACCTCATGCTGGGAGCTGCCACCTTGACTCTTTTGGCCTCCACTTGTGGATACTGCTGATTGTGACTTAAAAGTGCATGTGTTGGAACGTCTGTTATGAGTTTCATTCTAACTTATGTCATCTTTTGTGTATAGATTGACTTTGAAGATGTGATTGCCGAACCTGCAGGAACCCACAGTTTCGATGGGATCTGGAAGGCCAGTTTCACCACCTTCACTGTGACAAAATACTGGTTTTATCGCCTATTGTCTGCAATCTTTGGCATTCCCATGGCTCTTATCTGGGGCATTTATTTTGCCATTTTGTCATTCTTCCACATCTGGGCTGTGGTGCCTTGTATCAGAAGCTACCTAATTGAAATCCAGTGCATTGGCCGAGTTTATTCTATCTTTGTCCATACCTTCTGTGACCCATTCTATGAGGCTGTTGGCAAAATGCTGAGCTTTATCAGAGTAACAGTACGAAAGGAAGCATAAATGACATTTCAAGGAGCTGAAGAAATGAGTTTTTCCTCCCCCTTCCTTCATAGATTGATGCCAGTCTCAAGGCCTCCATAAATTAATAAAGTGACCGGCACTTAACAGCATCACTCCAAAAAAAAACAAAAAAAAAAAAAAAAACCAACCAACTTGAATGCAGCAAATAATTCCTTTTTTAACTTTCTTTGCTACTTAATCCTTCCTGGATTTATGCTATTTACTTTTTTTCAGGAGGAAAGTCAATTTGCATTAAACAAACACAAATTAAATAGCTGCTCGTCCATTTTACCTGCTTGTTGTTTTGCTGACCTTTGATGAATGTTCTGTTTTGCTTAACCCTTCCATTCATTTGTTGCAAATTAAACTCACATTGATTATAATGCAGAACTGCAAATACGCTTTCCAGCACTTTCACGCTGCTCTTCATTTTACTGTGAGTAAAAGAGGTATAAAAGCTACTGCAGCGTAATGCACATGGCAACAAGCTGGCAGACGTCAACAGAATGTTCCTTTTATAGATGTATTGTCAGATGACTGTAGCGCTTTACTGTAGTGACCATATCTAATTGCCACACACAGATTTAAAGAAATGACTACTGTAACATATGTGCTGAGAAAAGGAGATCAAGTGTCTTTAAAAAGACAAAGCTTTCAATTCAAATAACTGGGCATGTTGACAAAAAGCTACTAGTGCTCCTTCTGTCTTATCTTGTGGTCCCCATGAGAGAGTATTTGGATTATAAATATATAATATATGTCACTAAGAGAAAATGTAAAGGGTGGCCTTAATGCTTTGCTTTAACCAAATAATTTATGAAACCCTGGTGACACTTGCATGCGAAGCTTCATGCAAAGAATGGACCCTTTTCCTTGAAATCTTCTTAACTAGAAATGGCAGGATCTGAACAGATAGCTCTTTAGAAATACAACACAATTTTATCTTTGAAGAAAGACTTCTAAAACTTTCCATATATAAACCAAAAGTCAAGGTAGGAATCTGGTTGGATTTATTTTCTGAAAATGCTTCTATCAAGAAAATCCTTATGGCGTGCACATATTGAAAGTTAAATTATCCCTAGATTAAAATAACAAGGACACTTGTGTTTAATTTTTTTAGCATCATTCTTAAGAACAGATGTTCTAACTAATTTAAACAAAACTTACTACAAAGGGTCTAATTGTTCTCTTAAAAGTAGATAGCAAGGTATGTACAAATTGTGTTGAATCATGCCAACTATAAATTGGATTTTAAGAGTGATTTGGCTGTTTTCTATGAGAGACAGTTTGAAGAACCTTTAAAACAAATGCATTAAATCCAAGCAAATTCCCAAGTCTGCTAGTCCTGTTTACACATTGCTAACTTTTCCCTAATCAACCATACAAGTGGTTTGGGCAGCACTATGTTACGGTTCACCTTTCCCTCCCACCCCTTCTCAACTGAGCTATACATAATTCAAGGAGCCTTCCAGGTGCATAAAACTGTACAAAAGATACAGAAATAAAGCATTTATCGCGTTATTTAATATCGTGTTGCAGAATCTTTACTGTCACCACAGTGACAATGAAGTGAGAGGTTAGTTTTTGCATGAATGTGCTGCTTTCCTATTAAACAGGATGAGCTTTCTTAAATATAAAACTGAGGAATTTCAAAGTGTGTTCAGCTTTTGTTAGAAACTAGTTACAAAGTTGGCTTGCTTGAATCTAGAATAGGTTCCAGGTACAGTCCTAAGCATAATTATTAATAATGCCCTAGCTAGTTTTTTTTAATTGTCTGATTGCTTCAATCTGTCAATTTTTTCAATGCAAGCCTAAGCATATTCATTAAGAGATTGGTCTCCATCAACTGAGGAAGGCAAGTGCTGATCCCAAACATGTTGCTTATCTGAACTGGAGCTCAAATGGCACCTCTCTTCTCCTACACCAACCTAAAGTTGCCCCTGTATAATAAAATTAAAAATCCACTCGTCTCTCCTCAACACTTCATTCTGCTACGTGACAGGACCAGTCCTGAAGGGTAAATGAAACTAACATACCAAAATTGCTTGGATGGTCTGTAAATGCCTTGCTTTTTGCTAATACAGGTTTTACTAAGAATAACCTTGGTGTCCTTCATTAAATTACATTTCTAACACATTAAATAATTAGTTGATAGATTTATCTTTCATGTCCACGTGCATTGATACAGGATCATAGCAGCTCATTATTTGGAATAAAGGATGAGCATTTTATTCACAGTAGGCAATTGTTGCAGTAGATACAGGTGTAGAATTGTTTTTCTTTTATTACTATCCTATGCTAATAATATATTTATATCCCAACTAAACTTTGTGGGGAGTGGAATAATCTTTCTCAAAGTAGTACACTCCACATGTTTTGAACTCTACTTCCCATAAATTCCATCCCCTAGAATGCTGGTTAGGAATTATGGAAACTGAAGTCCAGGAGTTGAGGACCTTAAGCTATGGAATGCTGGTATGGAATGTGGAAGTAGTGTTTATTCATGTGTTTTGCTCAAAAATGGTTAATATAAAATGTATTCATTTCATGACAGGTTGAACATGTAGTCCAGACCATTGAGATGAGCTTGAAATAACATGAAGTAATGAGAATGTAGTTATATACAGTTTGCTCAATAAATGTAACATTGCAATAATTCTGTTGGCCAAGAAATTAGTAGACGAGCCCTGTTAGTGAAGTGATTAAAATATCAGTATTGCAAGCAAACTCTGAGCACAGCCTAGCGTTCAGTCCTGATAGGGCTCAAGGTTGAGTCAGCCTTCCATCTTTCTGAGGTCAGTAAAATGAGGACCCAGATTGTTGGGCTGATATGCTGGCATTGTAAAGTGCACAGAGAATGCTGTAAAACACTATGGTGCAGGATATAAGTGCAATTGCTACAAGCACTATAGAATATTACCCACAAATATCAGTTTTACCCAGGAGCAAATCCCTATAAAATTTCAATCAGCTTTCAGTACTGTAACTCTAAACATTAGAAGTAGACATTTTATAAAAGTGCTTTTGTGTGTGTTTTGAACACCAGTTTTTGAAATATAAATAACTTTATATGTTTTCCTTTTGCATTTAAAACATACACTGGTCTGGCATAATTTTTATAATGTACATAAATAAGATATATTATTTAGATAGATAGATATATCTATATAAGTTGTAATACAGCAACAGCACACTTTTTGTGAGAATGTAAACATATTTTAGTTTTATATAATTAAAAAAAACACTTTGAAATATATTGCCTAGAATGGTATATTCAGAAAGTGCATCTCAAAGCAAATGACATTATTGATCCAAGATATTCACATATGCTTACAAGATGTAACTGCCATTTTTTTTAATTCTGCATGTTCAATAGCCATGGTTACAATCTGCACAATAAAAGCTGTTTTAATACAAACACTGGTCTGAATCATTCTTCTCTTTAAAAATAAGTTCTAGTTATTAGTACAAGATTTTGGATAGTTCGAAAAACTATAGTCTGTTCGCTGCAGCTTCCATATGGTAGTTTGTCAAAGTCTGAATAATTATGCAGATTGATTGGGTTCACACTTCGATGTAGAATGGCCAGGTTCACGCATTACTCTAAGCTATGGTCTGTTTAGCTATGCTTTACTCAGTAAGCCATGCTTATCTGCTAAAACCAACCAATCCACATCATGACTTAAGGACAGTGGCTCAATTTTCCAATTTTTGGGAAGCACATCTGAATTTTAGAGAATGTGAAATCCTCCTCCTTGGATAATGATTGCCTTATTCAAAAAAAAATATCTGCTTGACTTCTGTAATACTCTTGTTCCACAGAGCACTTGAAGGAAGTGAACTATCTGGGTTCAGTTGGGTTTCAGACTGGAGTACAATACAGAGACAGTATTGGTTGCACTTGTTAAGCTGTGGCAGAATAGAAGCAGTGCATACATTTTTGTGTTCCTTGATCCTTCAGCAGCTTTCAATACTACCAATCATGATATCTTTCTGGAATAGTTGGTTTGGGATACGGGTCATTATCTTACAGTGATTCTCATTCCTCTATGGCCAGTTTCAGTTGGCATTGACAGGAAAGATTATGTCAAGTCCGCAGTCCTTCATCTATGGCACAGGTGTCAAACTTGCCACGTCACATTGCTGTCACATGATGTATCATGACTTTTTTCCCCTTCGCAGAGCTGGGGTGGGTGTGGCCTGCATGTGATGCATCCAGCCTGTGGGCCGCCAGTTTGACATCCTTGATCTATGGGGTGTCTTAGGGCTCAATGTTCTCCTCTCTCCTGTTTACCATATGCATGAAATTGTAGAGTGAGGTTATCCGTCTGTTTGGAATTCTCTATTAATCAATATGCAGAGGATATCCCAAAATACACATCTTAACCCTAGGCTGTCCAAGTGATATTGTGATTTAGCATCTGAAAGTTGTATGGGTCCAGATGGGAAGAAACAAACATGGACTCGTATTTTTACACCACCAAGTGGCTCTGTTTGGTCTTTCCATTTGGCCAGTCCATCTTTGCTTTTGGATAGAGTTCTGCAACCCAATTTAAAAATGGTGGGCAATCTGGGGGTTGTCCAGGACTCACAGATCCTGCTTGAAGAGCACATGGCAGCTGTGGCCAGATGAGCCTTTTGCACATGTCCCTCTAGTGCACCAATTATCCCCTTTCCTACAGTAGGAGGCCCTTCTGACAGTCACTCATGACTATGACTTAGTCAAGTTAGGACTACTGTAATACACTCATATGGGTTATATGGGCAGTACAATGCAGTGAACTATGTACAGATCCGTACATTGGGGAAACAAAACAACCACATCATAAATGCATGGCACAATCCAGAAGAACAAACCCCTCAGGACAAGATTCAGCAGTCCATCTGCATTGAAAAGACAAAGGCCACTCTTTTGAAGACAGCAAAGTCCACATTTTGGACAGAGAGGACTGTTGGTTTGAAAAGAAGTCAAAGAAGCCATCAAAATTGAACAGTCCTCTCTAAACAGAGGTGGAGGGATATGACATCATCTATCTCCAGTCTATAACACAGTCCTTTCAATAGTTCCAAGAAGACTCCACACTCAGGTGCCCCTACAACATAGATAAACCTCCAGGTGGCCTCAATGACTCTCTAAAAGAATGCAAATGACCTGCTGTCTGTAAGAAGTATAAATCCTTCCATTCCCCACCATCCAGTCAGAGTTGAAGAAGCTTCTTGGATGAGAAGTGCAATGTCTTCAAAGAAAAATGAGAAAGTCCAGTTGCCTCTTGAAAAAGCACCTTTGGTGCATAAGTTTAATTGTAGATTTACCACTTTCTCTAAAGTACATCGTGACTCTCTTCTTTCTATAATCTATCCTATTTAATCATGAAAACCATAGAACATAAGTTTATTTTTTTCTGTTTAATGCAAGAAACCTGTTTTCAGTCATCAATAAGCATAGATGACATTGTCTTCTCTTTCATCATCAAGTTCTATCATCTTCACCAAATATTCTTCCATTTGGATATTGCCAAATCTTTCCAATTTTGTGCCTATAATAACTCAACTGTTGTTTCCACATATAAAAATAAAAGTCCATGACTGTTTTCCAAATGTTTATCCATCAATCCCTTGTATATCAGTCTTTAAAATCCTCTGAATCAGTACTGTATATGCACTTGAATCCAAAATCTTCTAGCTTTTTTGCATGTCCACCAAGCATAGTAAAAATTACTCTGATTGTCATTCACATTTCCAACATAGATTTGAACCACTTTTATACAGGACATTCTAGACACTTTTTCTGGCGGTCACATCTTAATTTTATATCATTTAGTTATACTAGAAGTCTTTGAAGATCTGGTTTTGTTCTCAGGCATGGGGTTAGGATGGTTGCTGTCTGAGTCCCCAAATGTAATTACTTTAGTTTTTTTGGTGTGCTGTGTCTATTCATAAATATATACAGTTCTTTTTTATGTTATTGTTTAATGATTTTAGAAGTAACCTACCCAGATTTATCTATAGATTGGACAGTCTCCATATAAATAAATGTAAATAATCAACAATATGCCTGAACAAGCAGTACATCATGGATTTATCTGTACAATGAACTCTGCAAACAAGCATAAAAAGGATTGTGACTGAAGAAATACCTTCAGCTTAAGGCAAACACTGGAGACACTGAGGAAAGCAGAAATGATTTTTATACATGTTTAAAGCTCTGGATTTATTAGAGAGAAACACATACACAATAGACAGAAAATATTGAGTCATTGGAAAAGGAACAAGGGACCTGAGGAAGCTGACAGGGTAAAGAATGGAATCGGCTGCTGGTGAATAGAATATAATGGCAGAGGCTGACTGAAAGTCTTACAATAATTGAATAGAAATAGAAAGTAGAGTGCAGAGAGGGTGAAGTAGAATAAAATTGAACTGTTCTGTCTATATCTCAGTTATCCTTCTTTGTGTCTCTTTTTGGTTGTAGTTTACTCTTCTCTAATTTCTTTATGGAAGAGGACTGAGCAAAAGAAATAGAATATATAATATATACAGTATATATGGAATATATGTCCGTACACACACACAAACACACACACACCTAACCTTCAGAAAGAGCCAGTCATTGTCCACAATTGTCATTTATGGTCATTTACAGGCTTTCACTGGGCTGCCATTAGGACATTGGAGAGATGCCTATTAACTATCAACAGAGAAATCCAGTACAGCTAGGATTGGCCCCAAGAGTATCTATGCCACTATTGCCAAAATAAAAAAATTCCTCATGCCTCTCAAGTTGAATGAATGCCAATCTCACTCTGTCTCCTTTGATCTTCTAAACTGGCTGCATGTAAAAAAAATGTGTGTTCCTTTGATTTGATGCTTTCATTTTTTTAAAAAACATTTACACATAAATAAAAGATTAAGGATTTCTTTTTGTTATTACTGTTGTTGGCTAAACACACCAGAAGTGCATCCCAATTTTGCATGATCTTACTCGAATGTACTACGAATCACTACTTTAATTCACTGAGAATCCATGGGCAAAACAATACTATCTGACAGAAGCAGTGAAATGGGGGTAGGAGTTAATAGAAAAACAAATTTCAAAATAGATTGATGAAGCCTGCACACTCTTAGTGGCTACATAATTTTATATTTTTGCTGGGAAGTAAATGAAGAAACAAATTCAGGCAATGGCCATGTGTTTATAACCATTGCAGTGTCCCAGGGTCGTGACCCTTGCCTGTGTTTTAATCACATGATTGTTGGGATGCTTATTCTCTAGCAATAATCTTATAATACCAGTGTTTTTCCTTCATAATATTAATACATATTAATTATTTATACTAATTAGAATTAATAATAGCTTACAGTAGTAATCCATAAGGATAAAATTAATCTTTCTCTTGTAATTTTAAAAATTCTGTTTCTCTTATTTAACTATCGATAGAATAAATCCCATATCTCAAAATATTCAGTGTCTTCCTTTTCTTTAATTTCAAGAGTTACTCTACTCATTTCTTTGCACATTCTAAGATTTTTTTTCATTATCTTCTCTTCTGTAGGGATCTCCTCGCTGTTCTAATGTTGCGCAAACATGATTCTGGCTGCTGTTAACACATGTACTATTAAATACATGTTCCTTTTACTGTATTTTTTTGGTATAATACCCAACAGAAATATTTCCCGTTTTAGATCTATATATTCCTTTATCATTTTTTTCTATCCAGATGTGTAGTGTTGTCCAATTTTTTTTTGCTTTTGGACACATCCACTACATGTGGTAGTATGAACCCGGGATATGGTTGCACTTCCAACACTTGGCGGACATATCTTTAAACATCCTGGCTAATCTAGCTGGAGGGAAGTGTCGTCTATAAAACATTTTGTATAAATTTTCTTTATATGCAATGGACATTGTTAGTTTATACTTTCTGTCCTACAACTTTTGCCATTTATCCAATTCTATAGAGTGCCCAAAGTTTTTGGCCCATGCTATCATGATTTCCTTTACTTGCTCTTCTTCCATTCTAATACTCAATAAATAATTACAGAATTTTTAATTAGTTTCTCCTTCAGTCCTATTAAAATTTGATCCGGTTCTGTTGGTTCTTTATGAAAACCATATATTTTAGCATATTATTGATATCTAGATTGTATTTGTACGTACGGCCACCATGTTAAGTCTATCCCTTGCCTATTCAATTCCTGTTTGTTTTTCAATTCCCCTTTCTCATTCAAAATATCCTTATATCTTATGATTTTTCCCATATCCATCACATTTGAGTATGTCACTGCCTCCATCATGGAGAGCCAGAATGGTATTTTCAAATATTGTTTCTCGTTGGATTTTGCCCATACTGAAAACAAAGTATTTCTAATTTCCCTGGAAAATATTTGTGTGTTTTATTTTTCCCATACCATAGAGAGGCA